CACTGCTGCCTTGGGATTAAGTTTCCAGCTCGTGGACTTCTGGGGACACGTTCAGACCATGGCGTGGGGTTTTGGAGTCATGGGACGTGGGCAGTCCTGAAGCCTCCCAGGGGGGCAGTGGAGGGTCCTGCAAGCTGAGCTCCAGGTGCGGCCCCCCACACACCCATAGCTACAGCCACATCTGCTTCATGTACTGGGTCTTCATGCTTTCACTGGGGGAAAAAATGTTTTGATGCTAAAAAATTTGAAAGGTGTGGGTCTAGCTCAGTCCTTAGCCTGTGGTGCCCGGCAGCCCAGGCGGAGCTGGGGCATGTGGGGAGGTCAAGGCACCAGGCCACCCTGCCAGAGAGAGGCCTCTGGGTGTCCCAGTGAACTCTCCCCTCCCCCATTCCTCCTTGAACCCAGCCGCCTTCCCCAGGGCACCTGTGCCAGGAAGGCAGATTTTAACCCGCTCAGCGGCCAAGCCCTGGTTTTCCGATAAGAAAGCTGGTTGCCAGTAGGACAGATGGCCTGTGCCTCCCAGTGGCTGCTGTCATATTTTGACCTACCTCGGGGCCCAATCCTGGTCCACATGAACCGCCCTCATCTCTGGCAGCACTCCTGGCACCCAGATCCCAGCCAGCAATTGTCCCCCGGCACCGGGGCGGCCCTGGCCTGGCCCGGGACTCTCTGACCATGCCTTGGGTGCGGAGTCTCAGAGCCTGGGCCAGATCGCTCTGACCTGGTGAAACCTCAGAGGAGAAAACCCTTTCGCTGATGCGCCTGCTCTATGCCACGCGGGCTCCAGGGTCGGAAGGCCTCGCGCTGGCCCCTGGCCGGCCCGGCCGGCACTGGCGAGAGGAATGATGGCAGCAACATGCCCTCCACCGCCGCGCCCCAGGCTGTGTTAGAGGCTCCACACGCACTGGTTAGCTCACTGTGTCCTGTGACAGCCCTGTTACAGGTGGGTAGGCCAAGGCTCCCAGAGCTGGGGGAACTCGTTCTTAATTAGCAAGGTCGACCCCGAAAGCCAGAAGCACCAGCACCCTCTGCACAGCCCAGCCAACGAGACTCGAGCCCTCGTGACTCCAGAGGTTTCTCATATCACCCCTCCCCAGGTAGAGAGAGCCTGTCCCGGGGCTCGCAGGTGAGAGAGGCCTCCCTGTCTGGAGGGACAGCCGGCCCCTCTTGGCCTGGCCTCTTCAGCTGCTCCACGGGGCTGAGGAGTCCCACGATAGTGCAGCCACCTCCCTCCAGCTCCCCTGCCCTGGAGAGCTGGCAGTCCCCTCTCCCTCTGCCCTGCTGGAATTGTGACCTCCTGCAGAATCCAGGTGGCTCCAAGCCTGGGCATGGTCAGCAGCGCACAGGCTGGTGGCCACATACCTCCCGGCCACCTCCTGGGAGGACTCAGCTCCAGGGAACAAATTGCCATGGCACTGGCCGGCAAGCGTAGAACAAAGTCCCCTGCATCCCTGTCTCCTCCCCGCCGGGCAGCTTCTCTGAGCACCTGCTTCCTGGGTCGGCTCAGCCAGTGCCAGGCGAGCCCGGGAGAGATCGGGCTCAGACCCGAAACCGAGAAGCCAGGCTGCGGGCAGCAAACTGCGACGGGCAGGGAAGGGAGAGGCCGAGAAGTTCTGAGCCAATGGCCGGGAAGGGCCTGGAGGGGTGTGTGGCTGGGGGCAGGTGGCCGTGCGGACACCAGGACCCCTCAGCCTAGGGAGCAGCTGAGGAGGTGTCTTTTGGGGCAGAGCCATGGCCCGGCAGGTTAGGCCACAGCGCCTCAGGCTCCAGGGCGTGGGAGGCGGGGCTGTGGCGTGGCGAGACTTTCAAAAGCAACATGCAATGCATGTTTCAGCTTTTCTAAGTCTCCACTCTAGAGGGATAGGAGGTTCTGGAACAGTGGCTACCTCCGAGTGGCAGGATTACAGGGGATTTAAACTCTAACTCCTGTTTTCTGCTTTGTAAACTTTTTACAGTGAGCATCATCTATCGTGTGTTTGTTTTATAGTTGTTTTGGGTTTTTTTTTTCCATTTCAGAGAAAGAGCAGTTGCTGAGAGAGAGGCAAGCATTCTGATAAAGCGGCAAAGTTGTCTAGGAAAGCCCCCAGCGCCAGGCTGCACTTCAGTGCCGCCTAGTAGTGGTCCCCCGCCTTACCCAGCACTTCCCGTGTGCCAGGCATTTGTGGGGACAGGCCCCACTGGTGTGCTGGGACCTCCCTGCTGTAGCGCTGAATGTCTTGTGTCCTGGGAAGCCCGGAACAGTTGGTCACCCGCAGGCTCTGAGCTGGGCCCCAGCTGGGAGGTGAGGGAAGCTCGGTGACTTGTCCGCAGTCACACAGCTGGGAGGCTCCAGGCTGGGACTCAAACCTGGGTCCCTGGCTGTGACGCTTGTGAGCTTTGCCACCACCCCACACTGCTGTCACTGTCACTGAAGACGGGCTTACAGGTGCTGTGACCTCACGGGGTCACTGAGGTCACCTGAGGCCAGGGAAGCAGGGCCAGGAGTACAGGTTCCCTGAGGATTCTGCACCTGCCCCGGGGTGCTACTTGGCCTGCTGCTGCCACGCCACCCCCAGGTCAGAGGGCATGAGCTCCACGGGCCTTCCAAAGGATGGGGAGGATTTACCCGGAGCCCCCGAATTGGTTGTCTCGGTGCTGCTGATCAGCTGGATGAAAGTAGGGCCTTGGCATGGTGCCTTCATTTAACAGCACAGAGAGGCAGAGCAGCTCCCCTGAGGCTGCACAGCGGGTGGTGGCAGAGACATGGAGACCCAGGGAAAGAGCCCAGCCCTGGCTGTGAGCCTCAGGCCAGTAATATGACTAACACGGGGAGACTTGCTCTGTGTCTGGCCCAGGGATAGACCTACAGACAAGGAGGCGTGGCCCTGCCCCCACATAGAGATGGCGGAGGAGGGGAGGGGAGCTGATGCTGACCCTCCCACACCCGATGGCTTCCTCAGGGGCCCGGTGCCATGAAGGAGGGACTCGGGCATGGAGAAGGCAGGGTCCCAGGCCTGGCCTCTCTGGGACCAGGGCAGGTCTCCCAGAGGTGGTGGGTGGGGGAAGGGTGGAACCTTCTGGAAAGAGGGAGCACCGGGTGCAAATGCTGCGGGCCCCACAGCTGCGTCTTGTCCTCTGTGCAGTGAGGGTGAAATGGTGCAGCTGCTGTGAAAACAGTGTGGGCTTCCCCAGAAGTCACAGCTAGGGCCACCATGCAAACCAGCCGTCCCGCTCCGGCCGTGTGCCCAAGGGAGCCCGGGACAGGTACGTAGCAAACACTCGCCTCGCAGCAGTGGGATCCACGGGAGCCCAAAGGTCCCAGGCAGCTGAGGGGGTGAGCTGAGAGCGTGTCCATCCACACAGGGGACTGCTGCCGGCCACGGGAGGAGGGAAGCACTGGCACACGTCGTCTGTGCCATGTGCGCGGTGTCTAGAGCAGGTAAACCACGGCGCACGCAGCAGACTGGTGGTTTGCCGGAGCCGGGGGAGGGCGGGGGAGTGGCTGGTAACGGTACAGGGTTTTCTCTTGGGTGACAAAATGTCTTGGAACTAGATGGAGGTGGTGGCCGCACAGCATTTCGAACGCACCAAACGCCCCTGAACCGTGCACTCTGAAGCGGGAATCGCACGTGATGTGAATTGCACTTCAGCTCTTAAGAAGAGAGGACGGCGGTGTGAGGCGCTCAGGGCGGGGCGAGGGGAGGGCGGTGAGGTCCTTTGAGAAACACCGCCCAGCCCCGGCCCCACGCCAGGACTGAGACCTTCCAGGCGCCTGTAGCTGCCGGAGACACCTCGCTCCCGACTGGCTCTGGGCCCCTTTGTGGAGCACGCCCTGGCCGTGGGCGGGCGGGTGCACACGTGTTGTGAGGGGTGAGGGCTCAGGGAGCAATCAGGAGGAGAATGCACCGTGGGGTGTGTGCAGGGGGTGAGAAGCGAGGGAGCCGGTGGGGATGGGGAGTGCGGGGGCCTCAGGAGCTGGAGGTCAGGGACGCTTGTCTGCCAAGGCGAGAGGCGAGGGTCGAGGGGCGAGGAGGGAGGGCACAGGTGGGCTGAGCTGAGCTGGTGGGGCAGGGGAGGTCTTGGGAGTCGGGGCAGCAGCTGGCCTGGCGAGGCCCTGACGCCCCGGCCTGTGTGTCCCGCCCGCAGCCCTGCTCCTGGACATCATGACGGTGGCCGGCGTGCAGAAGCTGATCAAGCGGCGCGGCCCGTACGAGACGAGCCCCGGCCTGCTGGACTACCTCACCATGGACATCTACGCCTTCCCCGCCGGGCACGCCAGCCGCGCCGCCATGGTGTCCAAGTTCTTCCTCAGCCACCTGGTGCTGGCGGTGCCCCTGCGCGTGCTGCTGGTGCTCTGGGCCTTCTGCGTGGGCCTGTCACGTGTCATGATTGGCCGCCACCACGTCACGGACGTCATCTCGGGCTTCGTCATCGGCTACTTCCAGTTCCGCCTGGTGGAGCTGGTCTGGATGTCCTCGAACACCTGCCAGATGCTCATCTCCGCCTGGTGAACCGCCTGCCTGCCGCAGCGCGGGGACGGGGACGGAGGGACGGGGTGGCCCGAGGAGGCAGGGTTGGCGGTGGGTGGGCGGGGCCGACCCGGGCGGCCCAGAGGTGGAGCCAGCCACCCCACCCTGTCTCCCCGTTTTGGCTGGAGGCTGGTGACCCAAGGCCGGCCCGCCCCGTGACTGTGACCGGCCCACCCCGTGGCTGTGACCGGCCCACCCCATGGCTGTGACCAGGCCTCCTGCTCCGAGTCTCCTCTCTTTGCGGGCCGGGACCCACCCGTGGGGACAGCCTGATTTAGCTTCTGCTCTGGAGATAACCGGCCACAACCCAGATGCTGGGAGGGGCCGAGCCGTGTCTTGTCCTTCCATCGTCATGACTGTTGGGTTTTAGGCTGTGCCCACCCCGCCACAGCACGACACCTGCCAACCAACCCCACCTACCGCCTGGCGCAGGTGCTGTGGCCGTTAGCTTAGGGCAGCGCTTTGCAAAGGGCGCCCTGCAGGACACCGCCTGCAAGATGCTTCGGGGGGGAAAAGGGCTTTGTGGTCCAATATGTTTGGGGAGTGCTGCACACTCTGCCCCCATTTTGGACATTCACAAGGGCCGTTGTTGTCATAAAGGCTCTGATAAGTCCCGTAGGAAAGCTTCTTGCCGAGACTTGTTTAACCCATGTTTCCTAAACTTATTTGACCACAGAACCCTTTTCTTAAGGAACACCTACCAACCCCCAAGGAACCACCGTTTCCTCAAGCGCATTTGGGGAGCTGCTGCCCAGGAGCCAAAGGGCCCAGGTGTGAGCTGGCCTCTCGTGGCACCTGGCCCAGGCCAGGAGATCAGGTACACACGCCACAGCCCGTGGGCATCGGTGCCGTTTGGGCCCCCAGAGGCTGGACTCAGTGTGACCTAATAGGTCATTTCCAAGTCAACTGTTCATGGATGTGCGTTTCATGGGACAATACAGGTGACATGCAAACGGACCCTCTCCTGTGCGGTTCTTCCCTTACGTGACGCGGTGGCTCCTGGCCGGGGGCCCTCTGTCCACGTGGTGGGGGGCCGATCTCTCTGGCCCAGATAGCACCACGGTGCTGGTGGCCGGGGGGCAATGGGTATGGGCTGGCTGGTCCCTTATCCCTGAGGTCCCTGTCTGATGCCCTCCCAGCCCCAGGCTGGGCGCTGGCTGTCACACCCAAGGCCCGGGCAGTGGGCTGGTTGGGAAGCCCTCACTGTGAGGGCTCACTGGACGCGGGCCTGGGAGCCCCACTGTGTCCTGTCCCGGGTCCACAGGAAGCTCAGGCAGAGGCCCGAGCTCCCCGAGCCAGCGTGTTGCGTGTGCGGGCCCGGCCACAGCTCACAGCAACCCTCTGACGAGGCGTGATCAACGAGCCCATTTCACAGATGAGAAAATCGAGGCCCTGAGAGGGCATGTGACTTGCCCAAGGTTGCCCAGCCAGGAGGCAGCGCAGTGGGGCGTGACCCGGTCTGTGTGGGGTGACCAGAAACCCTCAGTGTTCCTGGGCCATGTCACTCTGCTGTCTGCCTCAGTCGTCACGTGGCCTTCTATTCTGTGTCTGTGTCTGTCCCCTGTCTGTATGTCCCCTTCTCACAACAACAGTCGTACTGGCTTCGTGTGACCCTACACCAGGACGACCTCAACTTAACTTATCTCAGTCGCATCTGCAGGGACTCTATTTCCAATAAGGTCACATCCACGGGTGCTGGGAGCTAGGACACCAACCAGTCTTTTGGGGGCAGGGGACACATTTCAACCCATGACCCACAGCATCCTTTTGGGGAGGGAACAACATCCCGTCCCAGCCGGCCCCACAGGTGGGGTCTCGCAGGCCCAGCCCGCTGGCCGCCCTCCTGCCGCAGGGACCCCCGTCCCCGAGGGCGGGGTCTGCCCAGGGCCGGCGCCCTGCAGACGGGACCGAGACCCGCTCACTCGCCCCAGGCCCCTGGCTTCTCCCGCGCCCATCCCGCCGGGGGTGCGGGGACCTGCCCCTTGTCTTTGTCCAGAAGGAGTCAGGAGTGCCGGGTCCAGCGGGGCCACCACAGTTCAAACGCCAGCGTCCAATCTTGAACCCCAGCTGGGTAAAGCACCGTGTGCACACGCGTGCACACGTGGCGCCTGTCCCAGATGCGAGCAGAGGGTAAGGGCGCCTTCCTTCTCTCCTCGCCCCACCCCCTCGGGATCTGTCATCTGCGGTGAATCCAGCTCCACGTTTGAGCTGGGGCAGACTCCTGCCGCCCGGGCCCCCATGCCCAGCAAGGACTCGGGTCCCCAGGGGCCCCCATGCCCAGCAAGGACGCGGGTCCCCAGGGGCCCCCATGCCCAGCAAGGACGCGGGTCCCCAGGGGCCCCCATGCCCAGCAAGGACGCGGGTCCCCAGGGGCCCTGGCGCTGGGGGCTGTGGATAGGCGGTGGGGAGGGGTTTCTGAAGAATGGAAACCTCTCAGCAGATCCTCTGGGGCAGGCGTCCTCAAACTACGGCCCGCGGGCCACATGCGGGTGTTTCTGCCCCTTTGTATTTTTACTTCAAAATAAGATATGTGCACTGTGCATAGAAATTTGTTCATGGTTTTTTCTAAACTATAGTCCGGCCCTCCAACGGTCTGAGGGACAGTGAACTGGCCCCCTGTTTAAAAAGTTTGAGGACCCCTGCTCCACGGCCTGGTGGGGACGGTGGAACCCCAAGAGCGCCCTGTGAACCGCTGGAGGAAGGGCTCTGGAAGGCAGCAGGCGTGTGCCTGGGAGCCACAGCCCTGGGATGGCTCGGGCCAGCGCCAGCACTTCCCGCCAGAGCTGGTGTCCCCTCCCGGAGCCTCGGTGTCCTCAAAGCAGACGACAGCGCTTCCCGTGGGCTGCTGTGCGACCCATGGCTGCCCTCCCCACAGGGCCTGGCACGGCCTGGGGTCCGTGCTCCGCGCCAGTCTCTGGGGTCCTGGCATCGTGGCCCTGGTGGCCAGGAAGGAGCCAGGACACACCCACGCCGGCATGGCGCTGGGCTCAAATCTGACGAGGGCTCTGACTTTGGGCGGAGGCTTTCCTTGGACTTGACCGAGGATGTCTCTTGGGAATGTTACCTCTGCGGCCCCTCCCCACGGAGACCTGGGGCTGTGGGAGGAGCTGCCACCCTCCCAGGTGACCTGTCTGGGGCGACTGCAAGAGCAGAGCCCAGGGGAGGAAGCAAGGGGGAGGCTGTGACGCCACCGGACCTGCCAGCCCTCCCGTCCCGCAGAGAGCCTGGGCAGGAGGCGGCAGGTGGCAGGTTGGGTGACAGCTTCGAGCACCCCAGTCACGGGACAAGACAGGACCGCGTGTGTGCTCACGGGCCTGGTTAATGCGCTGTGGTGATGGAAGCCAATCACTGCGCCGCGCCCCTGTTTCATGGCGAATGCCACTGCCCCACGGCCGGGATAAACCCCACGTGGTCAGGACACGCCCCCCCTCCCAGATGTGGCCCCGGGGCCGGGTGAAGAGCGTGATGAATCAGGATCCCGGCACGGAGACCCATGAGCAATGTTTGTGTGTCCTTCTTGGTTTGTCTGGTCCGTGTCTCCCTGGTTATCCGGGTCACTAGTCTCTTCCACGTTCCTGAGGGTTCGTGGCAACTGGTGTCATTTCTTCATCCCTCAGATCTCCCCCTTTCCCGCAACCCTCAGAAATCAGCCTCTTCATGGAGTGACGTTCGATTCCCCACCGTGACTGGAGGGCCGGGGAGGGACCGGGTGTCCCCGTGGGCCTGGCTGTGCCAGCCCACTAGATTGCTGGATCATAAGGGCCACTCTATCCCCATGTACAGATGGGGAAACTGAGTTTCAAAAAGGAAAAGTTGTTTCCCTGAGGCTGCCCAGCTAGGATGTAGCGTTGCCTGGGCTGGGAGCGAGGCCTGAGCAGCCCCGGGCAGGGAGGCCGTCGTGAGAACGGCAACACAGGCCCCAGCTGGTGCGGTGACACCTGTCCCACAGGCAGTCGGGCCCAGCCCCGTGCTCTCGGCCCTTCCCACTCGGGCTGGGCTCCCGGAGCCTGCAGCTGGCCTGCATTTGCCCCCCACCTTCCAGAAGCCCTTCCCCACCCCCAGCGCCACCTCCCACCTCCCCAGCTGTCGTGGCCAAAGTAATCACAGAAGAACGGGCACCCCGGGGCCTCCGGCAAGAATCACAGCTACGGGAATCTGAAAGGTGATTTTAAACATGTCCTTTCCCCCCCTGAGCAGGATCCACGGAGGTCTAAGGAGCCCTGGCCAAGAGCAGGAAATGCGTGGCTTGTCCTCGATGCTGCTCTGGCCGGGGGTTTGGGGTGGTCCCCAGCAGCATGACATGTTGAGCGGGGTCCATACAGGGTGTCCTTCATGCTGCCGTGAGGAGAAAGCAAGACAGAGCCCCGAGCCACAGTCGCCTGGAGGTGGTTTGGGGACTGCCTCCCGCACCCCTCTGGCCCCAGTCTGTGCCGAGGCAGGGCTGAGGGGCCAGGCTGGGGCTGGGCAGGGCCGGGCGGCGCCCAGGGAAGAGCACATGGGACCCAGCAGGGTCCCGGGTTCATGTTCCGGCCCTGGCGAGTCACGGAGACTTCCGAGCCTTGGTCTTTCCCTCTATGAAATGGGGACAAATGTACCCTGCACAGCTGTGAGGATCAGAGCCCCGGGTGGGGGGGCGGGCTTGCTGAACAAGAATGAGCCACCTAGGCCATCACTCCCAGCCCCAGAAAGGACCACGAGTCTTTGTTGGCCATTTGGGGACATTTGGGGGCTTGAACAGGCAGGCAGCAGGGGGGAGTTGGGGAGCCCCAAGGCAGGCAGCTTACCCCCATCCTGGGGCACCTGTGCCGGCCTGTCCCCTGGCCTAGGGGAGGAGCTGTTTGCAGCCCGCCCGCCCCCACCCCCCTGCCCCTCTGACTTTGAAGCTGGTGCCTGGAGCCAATGTCCCTTTGCTGGGGATGGAAGGGGACAAACCCCAGGGCCTTCCCTCTCATGGGAGTTGAACCACAATGTCCAGGAGCCCCGAAGGCCTGTGGTTGCCATGGAGACGGGCAGGTTTTCGGATGGAGCCATGATGGGGTGGAATTTGCGTCTGCAGCAGGAGCGGCTGCCACGCTTCCTCGCCACCCTTGAGAGCTGCTCACGGCCCTGACACTCTCGAGAGGGTTCCCAGGAAAGCCAGGCTCGCCAGGGACAAAGATTCCTCCCCTCACCCCCTCACCGCCTCCCCCCTCCCCGCCCCCACCCACCCACACACCCTGTCCCCCACCCACACGACCGTGGGTTCCCAGAACCCGAGCCTGTGTTACATTGCATGCTGCTTTGGACTGAATGCTTGTGTCTCCCCGAATCCATGGGACCCTAACCCCCGTGCGATGGCGTTAGGAGGTGGGGCCTTTGGGAGGTGACCAGGTCATGAGGGTGGCCCTCCTGAGTGGGACCAGTGCCTTTATCAGAGAGACCCCAGAGGGCTGCCTCCCCGTTCCCCTGTGCCAGGTCACGGCAAGGACATGGTCTGCAAGCTGGAGGGGGCCGTCCCTAGACCCCGACGGTCCCAGCACCCTGACCTCAGACTTCCAGCCTCCAGCCCATGAGAATGAAGTTTCTGTGTAATCCCAGCACGCTGGGAGGCCGAGGCGGGCAGATCGCTTGAGCTCAGGAGTTTGGGACCAGCCTGAGCAAGAGCGAGACCCTGTCTCTACTAAAAAAAATAGAAAGAAATTATCTGGACAACTAAAAACATACATAGAAAAAATTAGCTGGGCATGGTGGCTCATGCCTGTAGTCCCAGCTACTCGGGAGGCTGAGGCAGGAGGATCGCTTGAGCCCAGGAGTTGGAGGTTGCTGTGAGCGAGGCTGACGCCACGGCACTCTAGCCTGGGCAACAGAGTGAGACTCTGTCTCAAAAAAAAAAGACTTAATTTCTGTTGCTGATACGCTACCCAGTCTGTGGTCATTTGTCACGGCGGCGGAAGGGACTGATGGCACTGAGGGATCAGGGCAGCGGATGGGATGAAGGTTGCTGATCAGCGGACCGTACACCAGGGAGCGTGGCCCGGGCTCTCCAGGTGGGCGCATCACAATCACACACACCCTCACACGTGCAGGAGGGCGAGCATGCGGGGCGGTGGGGAAGGCAAGGAAACGATTCTGCCCTGGGGGCTCCGGAGGGAGGGAGTGCAGCGCTGCGGCGCCTGACCTCGCCTGGGGAGACCAGTGTGAGGCTAGGATAATAACCGTGTGTTGTCTTAAGCCACTAAGCTTGCAGCAATGGGTCACAGCAGCTGCAGGAAGCTGCTTCCAGGCAGCGTGGGAGGAGCACTGCGTAGGGAGTCCACCCCAGAGGAGAAGCGTCTGCACAGACCCCATCTCAGCTCCCTGGGGCCCTGCCCTGGGGAAGCAGCTTCCCAGGCTGAGGCAGTCGTCACCAGTATGAAGTCCCCGTGTCCCCAGCCCTCCCCTGCCTGGGGAAAATCCAGAAGGGGCAGGAAAGGGGATGGCAGGAGCGAGAAAAACCCAGGAAGTCCCGGATCCACCACCATCTGGCTCTGGGAAGAGATGGAACATCTGGCGCCTGCTCTGGCCCACGGCGCTTATGTAAGCCACGTGTGACCACACGTGGCCCAGGCGGCCCCTGGCAAGCTGGTGCCCTGGCCGCGCTCCACCTGACTTCCTCATGTGTGCAACGGGCATCACAATAAGAGGGCAGTTGTGGGGACAGGAAGATGCTCAGAAAGCCCTGCCAGGCCCCCACGAGCCTGTGCTCACACTCGCACACTCACATGCTCGCACGCGTGCACACACACATGCACGCTCAGTCCCACGGGCCCGCCCAGCTTTTCTCACATGTAAAGTTGCATACAGGAGATCTCTACGCTTCCCTCCAGCAACGATATTCTGTAACGTACACGCACACAGGTACTTCCATGCCCACACTTCATGTGCTTGGGTAAACATACATGTATGTGCAAACTTGAAAACACATCCAAGTTCACATTCACAGAGCTACACTTACACACGCACCTAGATATGAAATGGCACACGCAGCCTCGCCGGAGTTTGCACGCGCTCATGCCTGTGTGCTCTTGCACCACTGCACACACTCACGCTTCCATGCTCTCTTGAACACACATGTTTACGTGGCTCGATATTCATGCCAGACTTAGTAAACACATATACAGGACTCATTATGTGGGACAGACTTGTACTAAAAACCTATTCATGTATCTGAAATTCATATTTAACTGAGGGGCCTGTATTTTATCCGACTACCTAACACGGAAGCTCGTGAAGCCATCAGGGTCCCCGGGGCCCGGCCGTTCGCCAGGAGGACGTCCAAGCTCTGCTCTGCGTCTGGTAATTAAACCCACAGATGCCGCCCTGGCCCCAGAGCAGCCCTGGACCCCCAAGCACCGCGTTAACTAGCCTGGCCTCGGATGGGCCTGCTGGTGGGAGAGGGGCTCCCGATTCCTGAGAAACCTCCTCCCGCCAACGGCCCGGCTGCGAGGTCTGGCAGCAGCACGGAGCCCTGGGAACCCGGGGACCCCACGCAGGAGCCGAGCCCGGGGCCTGGCCTCCAGGAGGGCTGTCCAGCGGGGCGAGAGACGCGATCCGAGCCCCCAGGGGCCGGCTTGGCTGCTTCTCCATCCGGCCGCTTCTGCGGGTGGAGACAAGTCCGCACAGAGCAAGCTGCCTTGAAATCCCGGCTCCCCAGCCCCAATCCTCCCGCCGCAGGGTCTGTGGAGGGACAGCAGTGAGCAAGGCCCTGGGGGGACTTAGCATGGAGAGGGGAGGTCGCAGGTGGGAGGACGCAGACCTGCCACCTCGCCCCTACCCTCCTGTCCCCTCTCTGGTCCGGGGCCGGGCCAGCAGATGTGTGGAGAGTCCCCCGAGAGCCTCTCAGGAACAGGGTGAGTCTCTTTAAGAAACGACCTTTTTCCCCGACGTGTGTCTGTTTGCGCTACACAAGGATGCTTTTGCATTTTTTAGAAAACTAAAACAGACAGGAAAACCAAAAGCATAAATATTTTGGTTATCCCCTTCAGATGTGTTTCTCTGCACTTGTGAAAACGTAGCTATATTTTGAACAAAAACAACAATTATACTGTATCATTTTTGTGACCTGCTTTTTCGTTTGCTAACATATTGTGAACATCAAAAACTAAACATCTGGCCGGGCGCGGTGGCTCACGCCTGTAATTCTAGCACTCTGGGAGGCCGAGGGGAAGGGATTGCTCAAGGTCAGGAGTTAGAAACCAGCCTGAGCAAGAGCGAGACACGTCTCTACTATAAATAGAAAGAACTTAATTGGCAACTAATATATATAGAAAATTAGCCGGGCATGGTGGCGCATGCCTGTAGTCCAGCTCTGCTGGGAGGCTGAGGCAGGAGGATCGCTTGAGCCCAGGGGAGTTTGAGGTTGCCTGTGAGCCAGGCTGAACACCCAGCACACTCTAGCCTGGGCAACAAAGCGAGACTCTGTCTTCAAAAAAAAAAACAACAAAAAACCCTAAACATCTGTGTCCTGCGGCGGTGACCTCATGGTGGTCCCTCGTGTGGAAGAGGCCCTCTTTTTTTTTTTTTTAGCTTGCTCCTACTTTTGTTTAAATCGAGGGGTGAATTTTATACACACACACAATTAACTGCATGGAGCCGCACAGCTCAGTGGTTACTCAGGGCATGCAACCAAGGGTTTTGTACACCCGTTCTCGATCCAGCTCCGAAACATTTCACTGCCCCAAAAGGAACCACAGCCCCGCCTCCCCCAGCTTGCTGGCAATCCCTAACCTGCCTTCTGGCTCTGTGGATTTGCCTGTTCTAGATGTTTCCTAGAAAGGGGTTGAAACAGTATGTGACCTTTTGTGCCTGGCTTCTGTCCCTCAGCGCTCCGCTTCCAAGGCCCAGGCCCACGGGGGTGTGGCCGCCTCACTCCTCTCCGCGGCCGAGTGATGGTCCGCTGTTCGGATGTGCCACGTTCTGTTTCTGCACTCGCGTGTCCCTGGGCGTTCGGGTTATTGGCATCTTTTGACCCTTGGGACCAGAGTTGCTGTGAACGTCCGTGTACGGGTACTCGGCTGAGTCCCTGTTTGCAATTATCTTGGGTAAATAGCCAGGAGAGGAATTGCTGGTTCAGATGGAAGCTCTATGTCTATCGTTTTGAGGAACCCCACGCTGTTTTCTACGACGACTGCGCCATTTGACATTTCCACGAGCAACGTGCGAGGGTTTCAATTCCCCCGCACCCTCACCGACACTCGGCGCTATCTTTCTTCCCCGTCACGGCCACCCTACGGGGCGTGACGCGGACTCCCAGCTTTTTGGTAAATACAGACAATGCAGCTAGAATCCTCTTTGTCTGTGTCTCTCTGCACAGTTGCCTTATTTTGTTGTGTTCAATTCCCGGCAGCGGGATCGCCAGACGCAGGGCGGAGTGTATGTGAGTGACTCTGTGCGTGCATTTTTTTTTTTTTTTTTTTGGTGAGGTTTTTGGTGAGTATTACCAAACGGGTCGCCAGAGAAGTTCCACTAACTTTCTCCCTAGCCGTCTAAGAAATTGATCACTAAAACACAAGTTGTTTTGTTTTTAACCTGTATAACTGTTGTCGATCGGATTTCAATACTTTATGTTCCCTTGCTTCGCCTCGGGCGACCTGCACCTCCCGCAGCTCGCCTGCGAAGCCCGAGGCCCAGCGCCTCAGAAGGCGGCCGTATTTGGAGACAGGGCCCTTGAAGAGGCGATGAAGTTAAAATGAGGCCGTCGGGGTGGGCACGGATCCAACAGACCGGCGTCCTTGGAAGAAGAGGAAACTCGGACACTGGGAGACGCAGAGACCCGCAGGCCCAGAGGAGAGGCCGAGTGAGGACACGGCGGGAAGGCGCCATCTGGGCGGCCAGGAGGGAGGCCTTGGGGGAACCAGCCCCGCTGACACCTTCGCCCCGGACTTCTCACCTCCAGCGCCGCGCTGCAGCCCGCAGTCCGTGCCGGTTTGTCGTGGCAGCCTGGTGAACCGAGTGCTTTGTCCGAGCTGTTAACTGCGTGTGTGTGTGTGTGTGTGTGTGTTCCTTGCACGCTGCCGCCCCATCGTCCGTCTGCCCTTGGGTGCGGGTGGAGGAAGGGCCGGGCCTCACCTCCCCTGCGTGCGGGCACCGGGACCGCGCTCCTGCGCACGGG